TGGGGGGAGGAATAGTGCCCCATCGTTGGTGTCAGTGGGGGGAGGAATAGTGCCCCATCGTTGGTGTCAGTGGGGGGAGGAATAGTGCCCCATCGTTGGTGTCAGTGGGGGGGAGGAATAGTGCCCCATCGTTGGTGTCAGTGGGGGAGAATGTGCCCCATCGTTGATGTCAGTGGGGGGAGGAATAGTGCCCCAACTCGTTGGTGTCAGTGTGAGGGAGGAATAGTGCCCCATCGTTTGGTGGTGGGGAGGAATAGTGCCCCATCGTTGGGTCAGTGGGGGGAGGAATAGTGCCCCATCGTTGGTGTCAGTGGGAGGAGGAATAGTGCCCCATCGTTGGTGTCAGTGGGGGGAGGAATAGTGCCCCATCGTTGGTGTCATTGGGGGAGAGGAATAGTGCCCCATCGTTGGTGTCAGTGGGGGGGAGGAATAGTGCCCCATCGTTGGTGTCAGTGGGGGGAGGAATAGTGCCCCATCGTTGGTGTCAGTGGGGGGAGGAATAGTGCCCCATCGTTGGTGTCATGGGGGGAGGAATAGTGCCCCATCGTTGGTGTCAGTGGGGGGAGGAATAGTGCCCCCATCGTTGGTGTCAGTGGGGGGGGAATAGTGCCCCATTCGTTGGTGTCAGTTGGGGGAAGGGAATAGTGCCCCCCCATCGTTGGTGTCAGTGGGGGGAGGAATAGTGCCCATCTCGTTGGTGTCGAAGTGGGGGGAGGAAATAGTGCCCCATCGTTGGTTGTCAGTGTGGGGGAGGAATAGTGCCCCATCGTTGGTATCAGTGGGGGGAGAGGAATAGTGCCCCATCGTTGGTATTAGTGACACAAATGATGGGGCACTATTCCTCCCACTGACACCAATGATACTTACTTTGCTGACCCCTGCTCCAGCCTGGGCTCGCTCACTTACCTGTCAACGCTGTCTTCCTTCTCTGGCCGCTCTCCTCTTCACTCGCTCCGGCAGCTCCCTCGGTCTTCTTTGATGTACACGCGCCCAGCCGATCGGCCTCCTCCTTCTTCCAGCTCCACCTCCTCGCCGGTGATTGGCCGCCTGTGTGGCCTCTCCTGAGCTACAGTTCCGGTGGCCAATCAGCGGCGAGGAGGCGGAGCTGCTGAGCGAATCCCGGAGGTGTGGCCAGGTGACAGCAGCGTATCATCCCCCGCCCACACATCGCCGGAGACTGCAGCGGTGTCTCGGTTCCTAAGACATCGGAAATATGTTGTTTTCCGATGGTCTTAGGCGACCCCTGGGAAATGGTCGTTCGACCCCCAGGTTGAGAACCGCTGGTCTAGAGCATTGGGTTGATTCTCCATGTCCTACATCTGGTTGTACTGCAGGTTCCTGCATTCATCAGGGGGTTCGACCTCATCTGCTGTCAGAACTCCGGGCATTGGTCCTTTTAGGTGGGCCTCTTGGATGCAGGCTCTTGGTTGTTGCTAATTTGCACCTCTCATTTGGACTGTATTTGGATGTCCCAATACTATAACTTTCTCTGTTCTTAACTGGACGTGAAAAAACTGGATTTTTGTACTTGCAGTAAAAAACCTTTTGTTGGAGTCAATTGAGGACATAGGACCCACTTTTCTGTGTGGTCCTGACCATGCTCTTTGGGACTGCTTGCTTCAGATTGAGGCATGCTGGGTAGAAGATGGTTTATCTGGCTTGCCTACAGATTTTTTTTCCCAGTGTCAAGTCTTTCTCTAGGCAGCAGTGTAACCCAACAGTATGTGACTTCCTATGGACTTCATGAGAAAAGGATTTTATGGAGTTTTTAATTTTTGCCAAATAAACGAAAAAAAGACTAAAAATTGGGGGAAACATTTTTTTTTTTCATTTGTTATAAAATTTTGCAAATAAAGAATTGTTCAATTGTTAAATTTAGGCAAGAATATATTCTGATATATTTCCTTGGTAAAAATAACCCAAATCCTTGGATATTTTTTAGTCCATAGGAAAGTTATGGAGTCCCCAAACTATGGTGTGTGTGTATATCTATATCTATCTATCTACCTATATATAAATTGTACACAATGGGTGGCATGAAGGGAACCCATCCGTTGTTTGTAATTGTCTTTTGACTTGCTGTGATTGGTCATAGCAGTCACATGGTACTGGCAGCAAGCTGGTACACTGATCAGTCATAGACTGTGTCCCATCCCATGGTGGGTGCCCCTGTACCGAACCCCAGGAGTCAAATAGAAAGTGATGTAAGCTCTAGCTGGCCTCAGCGGTCACTCTGGCCACACCCTCTGATGCATTTCGCCCCTCCCATCGGGTGGCTTGGTCACAGAGGCTTACATCGCTTTCTATTTGACTCCTGAGGATCAGTAGAGCGGATCCCACCCCTCCTCACATTCAGTATGTCTCTGGTATCACTTGGGACGCTGCTTACCTCTTTCTCTGCTGGTGGGGTGATTACACTTCTGTCCAGCTTTGAGTGGCGCCACAAGCTTGCTACAAGGTCTGTAAAAAAATGTGTATCACGCGTTTACAGTCCAGTTAAAGTGTATGGAATCAAAGACGCTGCATGTACTTTTCATGTACTTTTTTGAGCGTAGGGTGATTGAGCATACAAGTGTGAACGGGGACATTTTTAGAAAGAATGGGATTCTGTATAGTTAGGCATAGTCAGGTGCAGGGAAAGAAGCAGAAAAAAACACTCAAGTGTGGGGCCTTAGATTGCTAAGAAAAGGTAACGGGACAGCTGAATAGGACCCAGTATATCTCAAAATTTCTGACACGATAGCAGTTTTTTTTTCTGTTCTTATTAAATAGAAACAGAATGCATTCAATGGGTATTTAACAGGCAAAAAGGAAACCAGTAAAAGTTCTTTGTTAGGGTTAAGGGTACACTTACAATAAGTTGGGAGTAGGTTGTCTTTTTATAGCATGTTACTTCTTTTCAGATGTCAACATTTTTTAGGTTGTAAATTTAAAAGATACAAAGATGTTTACCAGCTCTTTACTTGAGGGTTTGGTATTACCTATGGTAATATTTGAGGTTTGGGTTAAAATTGAATCAATCTCACTACTACAGTTAGTGTTGTCAATAAAAAGAAGGTAAACATTAATTTCTTGCCTATTTTGCTGCACATCTGTGTCATCTTCAGTTTTGGCAGATTACCTTTGGTAGTTGGGTAATACTGCGGCATGAACGCAGGGGTGTTCAACCATTTGACTTTCCTGGACCACATTGGAAAAAGAGTATTTTTTTTGGGCAACACATGAAATGCACTAACAATAAGGATAGCCGATGAGTAGAAAGTCTGGCAGATCACAAGTTAACGATCATTGATAATGTATTTATCTGAGTAATAAAACTATTTTTTTTAATAATATTTTTTATTATAAAAGTAAAAGAGGGCTACATAAATCCATGTGTGATATTTAAAAATGTTTTTGGTAAATTTAACACATCAATATCTGGTTTGATGGATGTAGTAGCAATTCTCAATGGTTCTAATTTTGTTCTTTGTGTGCTTCATCCTTGAAAATAGTCACTCACAAATATAGATGCTGCCGAAAACTGATAGCATGAATAAAGTGTGATTGTGAAGAGTGGGATGTTTTTTCTTTGGAAGATAAAAGTTCAGTAAAGAGAGTCAAATTTTTCATCAGTTGCATGTGTTCATTAAAGTGGTTGTAAACCCAAAACATCCAGATGACCAGTCTACCTTACACAGCATAGCAGCAGAAGTCACCTGTCCCTAGTCTGGTCAAAAAAAGGAGCAGCCAGAAATCCTCTGCTTTCCTACAGTGAAAAACCCGACACAGGAAGAAAATTTGTGTTGCCACATCCCCTCTCCTGTGACTGACAGACTAAATAGGAGTCAGCTCCACCCTGAAGAGACTGAGAAAATCGGTATCCCCATAAACACTGGACAGCATTTGAGGAACCGGAGACTGCAGACTTTGAGGTTGAAGGGAGCTGAGCAACTGTCGCGAGTGGGACCTTGCTGACACTATGTGCTTATCTCTACTAAGGGAGGAGGAGGAGGGTGGGGATACATGCTTTCACAGGTAATCATTATCAACAAAGGGAGCCAAACAATCCCACAGCTCCTGGGGAGGGAGCCTAGCAGAAGGATCACAATTAACCCCTCAATGGTTGGGCACTTTTACTGTAGTGCCCTACTTTCAAGTAACACCCATTAGTTACTCAGTAAAAGTGGCCAGTCATTGAGGGGTAATTGTGATCCTCCAGCTCGGCTTTCTCCCTGCTGTGGGGTTAAATCACAGTGTGTCCGTTTGACCCCCCCCATTAGTTTATAATGATGACCTGTGAAAGCATGTATCCTAGCCCCCCCCCCCCCTTAGTAGAGATAAGCACATAGTGTCAGCACGGTCCACTGAGTAATTCTTGGGCTAGGTTATTTCGGGAGTGATCTGTATGGATGGCTGCAGGACACATGCCCCCTTCTCTCATGCTCATGCATGAGACTCCTAATTAGTCTGTCAATCACAGGAGAGGGGGTGTGGTGACTTTTTTTTTTTTCCTGTGTTGGGTTTTTTTTTATCATAGGAAAGCGGAGAGAATTTCAGATCACTGGCTGCTCTTTTCTTGGCCAGACTACGGACAAATGACTTCTGCTGTGTGAGGTAGACTGGTCATTTCAATTTGGTTTTTTTGGGTTTGCAACCACTTTAAGTATAAACACATTTTTTACAAAAAATTTCCCAAAAATCAACATTAAGTACATTTACGACTGTGTTGGACTGCATTCATAGCCATTTTCATCCACATGCAGGCCGTGGGTTGGGCACCCCTGTTTTTAATGTTTTTGTATCAACCAAAATAAATGTTTTGTGCAGTAATTCTCCTGTGTTTAAGTTGTAAATATGACATGCAATGAATGTTAAATGCATAATTGGTAATTCTCACAGCACTGATTGTGATGCGTTTTTCCACTGCTGGCTTTCAAGTTTGGAAAGCAGACTTCAGGTTAATTGCATAACACTTTTTTTAAAGCCAGATGAAAATAATTTTATCCTTTTCCTTTCAGCGCCGAGGCCCTCAGCGTTCTGTTGATGTAATCGTTTCATCAGCTTTCTTATTGACTATATCAGTAGTATTCATATGCTGTGCACAGGTGAGATCTATTTTTATGTATGCCCTCATCTGACTAAATATGTTCTTGTAACAGAATAAAATAAAGAAGTCCAGGAAAAAAAACAGTCCACATGCTCCTTAAATTTACCTATTGAAGGTTAGAAAATGAAAAATTGGTTTAGGAGACAGTTGACTTGCTTGTTACACCATTGTCAGGGCACTGTAAAGCTTGCCTTTGTCTGCATTATTTAAAAAAAAAGTGCCAATCCTCAGTTCAGCCAATCTGAACTTACTGTCATGCCAGTGCATGATGATCTTTGATTGCTATTGATTAAAACACACAATTAGCACTCTTTATAAAATAAGTCTGTACTACTTTTCCACAGTGTGCCATTTTCTCTTCTTTATGGCTTTCCTGCCCTAGAGGACCTTCCTGGTTGTAAACCCTTATATATACCCACTAAAGTGACTAGCCTCATGTGATATACAGAGGTTACACATCCTACTGCATGAGTTGTACCTCTTTATGTGCAGATATCTCTCCTCTACAACCTTCTAAAACACACGTATCAAAGATTTTTTTTCTCATCTCCAGGAAGCAGGAAGTAGTGATCTGACATCAAACACTGCGCAGACTAGTGAGGGGAGCTCAGTGTTATCTGAGACCTGAGTGGCAGAAAAGGACATGAAAAGGAAAGGATAGCTTAGGCTGTCCGTCACCTGCTGGGGGAGGGGAGGCAGGTCTGGCTTCTGAGATTGCTGTCTGCATAAGTCAGTTAATTGCAGGCATGCTATAAGGGAAGGGTGTCAAACTGGTGGCCCTCCATCTGTTGTGAAATTACAAGTCCCATTATGCCTCTGCCTTGTAACTGTCAATCTTGCAGGGCCTCATGGGACTTGTAGTTTGTCAGCAGCTGGAGGGCTGCCAGTTTGACACCCATGCTATAAGGGTAACAAGGATGAATACTCATCACAGAAATCAGTCTTTCATTGCACGTTGCCTTTTTCTGCCTTTATCTCCAGAACATAGCTGGCTTTGTTCAGGCACACATCTAAGGTCAGCATTGAAATAAAAAATGAATCTATCACCAATGGGTCAGAGATTCTAGCAGTTCAGATGTAAAAACACAGGCTATGTAAACTCTGCCATGTGCTGCTTGGGCTGACTTTGTGGCGGAAGTAGATGGAGATGATGATCTGGTCTTGCACAACCTGCAGCATCCCTGGCTTGAGTGTGTGCTGTCTCTGTCTCACTGCAGCCTCTCTTAATACCTTGGAAAGTATGACTTGCTACATTCATAAAAGGGAATGCTATTATGATGTTTGATGGAAGAACATATGTTGCATGTACCAATGAATCTTTAAGGAAAGGTATAATCACTAAACTATATATGATGTTAGGAGCTGTTTCCTCTTAGCTTGCAGCAGACTGATAACACTTGTATCTCAGCTATAATTGAAGAATAGCATAGTCTTACATATATTAATATTAATTTGACTGGATGCCGAATCATAATTTAGATTTAACAGGGGGACACCGAGAAGAGGAGGATCGGGGTCCACAAGTTCCTGCTATACAAAGTCACTTTACAGAATACAAGCAGTCTAATCTTTTAGAAGTATAACATGTTTCCTCTTAGCTGTTATTTTTAAAATTTTAAAAAAGAGTGCCTTTAACCACATGTTTGTTATTTTAAATTTTTGCTTTAACCACTTGCCCTCCTGAGGATTTACCCCCTTCCTGACCAGGCCATTTTTTGCAATACTGTGCTGCGGTATTTTAACTGTCAATTGCGCGGTCATTAAATGCTGCACCCAAATGAAATGTACGTCCTTTTTTTCCCACAAATTAAGCTTTCTTTTGGTGGTATTTCAGTGTCTTTTTTTTTTTTTATATAGTGCAAAAAATAAAAAATACACAAAAACCAACAGTTTTGAGAAAAAAAAAATATTTTTGACTTTTTGCTATTAAACATGTCCAGTCATTAAAAAAAAAAAAATTTAAAATCAAATTTCATCATAATTTTTTAGGCCAAAATGTATGTTCTGCTACATATCTTTGCTTAAAAAATCCCAATACAAGTAAATGAATGGGTTTATGTGAAAGTTATAGCGTTTACAAATGACGGTATATATATTGGATTTTTTTTTTTAACTAGTAATGGCAGCGATCAGCGACTTATAGCGGGACTGCGGTGGTCATTCTGACACTGGGGGTAACTGACTTGGTGTCACTGACATCCCCAGTGACACCAATACAGAGATCAGTGTTAATTAAAAAAGCACTGACACTGTTCAAATGGTAGGAAGGGGTTAACTTGAGGGGCGATCAAAGGGTTAACTGTGTGCTGGGAGTGTTTAACTGGGGGGCGGTATGTTGGAGCTTCACTGTAATCACACTGCTTTGGATGGCTGTGCTGTGCGCAGCCATCCAGAGCAGTGTGCCAGAACTGACAGGGCGAAGGACTGTTGGTAAACAAAAGCAGCCCTCCTCCCCATCAGGGATCCTCGGTAATCATCGGGCGTCAGCGGGTAATCACCAGCCAAGACCCGGTGATTGACATCAATGGCGGCACAGGTAGGGCGCGTGCGCGGATCGCATACACCCCCTACCAGGAAATACAAAATCACGTATTTATACATGATTTTTGCGCACGCCCCTGCCGCCCTGTAGCAGTATTTATGCTATAGGGTGGCGGGGAAGCGGTTAATATCACTTTAAGTAATGAGGTGACAATTGCACCTGTAACCCTTTTGCTGCCTCTGATCTATTACATCAGTGGCAGTTGCACTGTCTGGCTGGCCACCCAAACACTTCTAGATTTTAATGAAGGTTCGCTCTAAATTGATCAGCTGTAAAGGCCTTTAAAGCATCACCTATGAATACCATCATTTTTTGTTTCACTGGCACACGCATTTTTGAGGCTACACATATATGTTATCTATTTACTTAACACAACTTCATTTCTTATATTTTACTAAAACATTGGGGATTGTGTTGTATCTGTACACACTTAAATTTATTGAGTGTATTATTTTACTGAAATTATAGATTTGATGAATAGTGCAATTATCACAAGACATAAACATTGCAGCTACCACAATTTTATTTTATAGGGTCTCTGTTTACAGAAAACAATTAGTTTGGGGGTTTTGAATAATCTTCAGGCCTAAATTGCACATTTTATTGTGTACAAAAAGAAAAAAAATAGGATCCAGCATCTAAAGGTTTAGAATCAGTCAGCAGTACCGATGCCCATATTTCTTTCTGCATCTATTATGGAAGTTTATTTTTGTATAGACATTATCCTTTTGTTTTCTTTTTAACTGCACAGATAGAGAAACACTATTGATAAACCAAGTATTTGAAAGCCCCAGTATTTTAATCTGGTAATGCTAAATTTGAAGCCTGCCATCTAGTGAGTAGGATAGATATATTTACAGGAATGTAGCTTTGCATGATTTGCAAGTGCACAGACAGATGGGAATAAAACCTGACAGATGATTTCATCCCTCCTCTCTATCCAGAACTAAGCGGAAAAAAATTTCCTTTAGTTACACTTTAAGGTCTCATTACCACAGCACATGCTGAGTGTTTCAGTGCAGCCTGGTGTTCGAAAACCACTGTTTTAGACTAATGTCCTAAATGGAAAGTGCTATTTTTTTACATGTCTTTTTTTTTTTTAGAGCCACAGGCTTAAAGTACTCTCTCTGTAGGATAATTAAGGCTACTGTTGACAATATCCTTCTGACTCACACATGAGGGAAATATTTCCCAAAATGTATTGATGTTATGCTAAAAGATTTTCAGCGGCTATAGCTCTAGAAGACTGTGAATACAAAATAATTGAGTGCTGGGACAGGTGTGTATAAACTGTCTTTTATTGCAGAGAGCTCAATTTACAAATTTGTCAACTTTGGTGAATCCTTTTCTTTTTTTCGTAAATTTGCAAGTTTTCAGTCCATCCTATATATTTTTCTAACCTATTGCTAATCATACAGTTCATTAATCTTAGTTATTTATATTATTGAATTGTCTGAACCTCTGTCGATTGGTCATTTTCAGATTATTATTATACATGTTTTATACAGTGCCAGCAGTTTGCTCAGTGCTTTGCAATATAGGGGAGACAGTACAGTTACAATACAGAAGGAATAGGAATGCCCTGTTTTTAATGGAGGTTACAATCTAAAGGGAGGGTACAAAAGGTTATAGCTGTAGGGGATGATCTGATGGAGGTGAATCAAGTACAGCTTTTTAGGTTGAGGTTGGGTAGGCTTCCTGAATAAATTTAGTTTTCAAGGATCATTTTCAGATGATTCAAATATAAGATTAGATTTGCTGGATTGGTCTGATTAGTAAATCAGTTTGTACATATTTAATTTTTTTTTTTTCACAGATAAAATGTATTCTATTTTATTTGTTTGTTTTTAAATGTGCTCTAAATGTTTTTATTTGTTTTAGCTTCTACATATTCATGAAACGTTTCTGGATTGTCACTACAACTGGGAACTAGTAATCTGGTGCATTTCCTTAACACTCTTTTTATTGAGATTTGTTACACTTGGATCAGAAACCAGCAAAAAATATAGCAATACCTCAATATTGTTGACCGAACAGGTGAGTTACAAATTTCAGTATGTTTCTTAAGAAAATCCTTCATTTGATTGGGACTTCTTTACGTAATAACAACGGATTTACATCTCCCATAGTTCCCTTATAAACATAAGTAGAATCCCTATTTAGGGCTGAAGTCTAGTCTTTGATGTGTAATTTCTATGATAGTATAGTCATACAGGTTATAAGGGACTGAAGCAGTCAAAAAGACCCCACTCCTGTCAGTGCGTAGCCTTTTTAAAATAGAAGGTATTCACATTGCATTAAAATAAGGAAATTGTTGCTCATTTCTAGAGAGCAGGTGGAGTAATGTAAATCATTGCTTTATGCTCCATTGGCCAAATGCACATACAAAACTTATGGTGAATAATACAACTATAGCCTAATGTTATAGAGCCATTTTTTTTCAAACTGCATTAAGATGTTTCAGACTTTTTGACCATCAGTGCAGTGCATGGAAACCATGGTTTGGTACCCAGCAGGGCAATGTAACCATACATATGGTGAAAATGAAAAGTAAAAGTAAGGAGTGAAGAACTGGCAACTCATCCTTCCGAAGAATTACTTTTATTACATTGAGTAGAGTGTACACGGAAAACTGGCTTACGCGTTTCAGCAACAAGTCTTAGTTATAGTCAAGTTGCTTCAGTGTTGGGAAGACACTTTGAGCAGGAGCACCATCAGCCTGCCTCCATGGGGAATCCATCTGGGTGTAGTATCTTTCTCTTTATGCTGAAAAAGGGACTAAAGTAATCATAAAGCCCTCACTCTATTTCGGACGTAGCACATTCAGTGGTGTTTCGCATATGTGCGTGCGGTTGGGTTGTGGTTTGACCCTCATCCAATCTGCATGACATGTGAAATAACATTTCTTCTTATGGTGCCTGCTGTTCACATATGTCTTGTGCACTGGCAGTGCGGATTCAGCGTGGATTGAAAAAAGAATCTTGTACGATTTCTGAGCAGTCCGGTCCCGTTCAGGTGCGGATTACAGGCTATTGACTTCTATGGGAACCATTTCTAAACCTCATATGTGTGAAAAGGATACAATTCTGATCTAAACCTGTCCTGAACCTGATGTAAACCTGACCTGAACCTCTGAGCATCTACTGTATCAATTAGCTGTGAAACCTGAGCTTCAGTCCGCACCACATATTTGTGAATCGGCTCTAAAGCCTTCTTAACCACTTGCCTATAGGGCACTTTCACCCCTTCCTGCCCAGGCCAGCTTTCAGCATTGCCGCACTTTGACAATTGTATGGTCATGCAACACTGTACCCATATTACATTTTTATAATTGTTTTTACACAAATAGAGCTTTCTTTTGGTAGTATTTAATCACCACTGGGTGTTTTTTTTCCCTAAGCAAACAAAAAAAGACCAAAAATTAAAAAACAAAAACGTTTTGGTGGGCACGAATGAGGCGGCACTGAAGGGCACTGACTGGCAGCACTAATGGGCATTGTTGGGGCTGCACTGACAATCAGTGTAGATGTTCCCTTTCACACTTGCCGGTTATCGGCAGTACTTTCCAAACATTGTGAAAGCATGAGGAAAGTACTGCCAATAACCGGAAAGTGTGTTTACATTGTGATCAGCTGTGATTGGATACAGCTTACATCTAATCACATGGTAAAGGGCCACTGTGATTGGCCCTCTACCATAATTTGTGATCAGCTGTGTCCGAAGGACACAGCGATTACAGGTATCATCGGCTAGACGCCCTCCCAGAACTAGACGACCACGTTGTAGCTTTTATTCAGCTATAGCACAGTTGGCAAGTGGTTAAAACAGAAGGTATTCACAAATACCTCTGTTTTCCTGGACAGTCAACGAAGCCCTGCAAATCTTTGCTTTAAGCCCCATTGTCCAGATGCACATCAGAACTGCTGTGTATAGTGGAAATATAGTCTAATATTATAAGCCGTGTAACACTTCCATACTTACTTTTATTTATATGCCTCAACAAAGCTGCAGTGTATATGTATGGACTGGTCAGTTGAGATCTGTTTGTTTATTAACATGCACATTGGGTGAACTTGCTTATTTCTGCCTATGTAAAAGGAAAGGTGAAAAGCTGGGGTGCACCCACTAGGATTGTGAAGGGATCTTCTAAAATACTAACATTCCCTAATATGACATTAAGTGACCTGAGCAGGCTAATGTTCTCTAATCTCTAAAGGCACCTTTTAGTTATGGTTGGAAGATTTAAACTGGCCATACACTATACAAATTTGGGCTGGTTCTTGAGGGAACTGGCCAAAATGTGCTTTGTTGGTGCCCCTGTCAGCTCGAAATCCTTCATTTGAAAAATTGACCCAGGTGGATAATTGTCAGCCAAACACTGGCTGAATCTAATTTGATGCAGCCACTGTTCAGGTATTCTGACAGCCACTGCAGGGGCCTGGCAGGGGGAATCATCCTTCTGTGCAGTTCACAGGGATAGAGGGATCTGTTAGTTTTGTTATTTTGTTTTGTTTTTTAATGCCGCAGGCCTAAGGCTGTGATACTTTCACTGTTAAACATATTTATTCCCAAACCAGGACGTTGCCAGAATGTATATTGTATAGTTTTTCAGTGAAGGTTAGTTAAGCACAATGGGACTTGATTATTCTTGAAAACATTTTCCCACTCTCCCAGGTGGCTTCTTTAACCCAGCCGTTCCATGTCTACATACAGTATCTCACAGTAGTGAGTACACTCCTCACATTTTTGTAAATATTATGTTTCTTTTCATGTGACAACACTGAAGAAATGACACTTTGCTACAATGTAAAGTAGTGAGTGTTCAGCTTGTATAACAGTGTAAATTTGCTGTCCCCTCAAAATAATTCAAGACACAGCCATTAATGTCTAAACCAATGGCAACAAACATGAGCACACCCCTAAGTGAAAATGTCCAAATTGGACTCAAAGTGTCAATATTTTGTGTGGCCACCATTATTTTCCAGCGCTGCCTTAACCCTCTTGGGCATGGAGTTCACCAGAGCTTCACAGGTTGCCACTGGAGTCCTCTTCCACTCCCCCATGACGACATCACGAAGCTGGTGGATGTTAGAGACCTTGCGCTCCTCCACCTTCTGTTTGAGTATGCCCCACTGATGCTCAATGGGGTTTAGGTCTGGAGACATGCTTGGCCAGTCCATCACCTTTACCCTCAGCCTCTTTAGCAAAGCAGTGGTCGTCTTGGAGGAGTGTTTTGGGTCATTATCATGTTGGAATACTGCCCTTCTGTCTAGTCTCTGAAGGGAGGGTATCATGCTCTGCTTCAGTATGTCACAGTACATGTTGGCATTCATGGTTCCCTCAATGAACTGTAGCTCCCCAGTGCTGACAGCACTCATGCAGCCCCAGACTATGACACTCCCACCACCATGCTTGACTGTAGGCAAGACACACTTGTCTTTGTACTCCTCACCTGGTTGCCGCCACACACGCTTGACACCATCTGAACCAAATAAGTTTGTCTTGGTCTCATCAGACCACAGGACATGGTTCCAGTAATCCATGTCCTTAGTCTGCTTGTCTTCAGCAAACTGTTTGCAGGCTTTCTTGTGCATCATCTTTAGAAGAGACATGCAGACCAATTTGATGCAGTGTGCGGCATATGGTCTGAGCACTGACAGGCTGACCCGCCACCCCTTCAACCTCTGCAGCAATGCTGGCAGCACTCATACGTCTATTTCCAAAGGCAACCTCTGGATATGATGTGGAGCACGTGCACTCAACTCCCTTGGTTGACCATGGTGAAGCCTGTTTTGAGTAGCACCTGCCCTGTTAAACTGCTGTATGGTCGTGCTGCAGCTCAGTTTCAGGGTCTTGGCAATCTTCTTATAGCCTAGGCCATCTTTATGTAGAGCAACAATGCTTTTTTCAGATCCTCAGAGAGTTTTTTGCCATGAGGTGCCATGTTGAACTTCCAGTGACCGGTATGAGAGAGTGAGAGCGATTAACACCAAATTTAACACACCTGCTCCCCATTCACCCCTGAGACCTTGTAACACTAACGAGTCACATGACACCGGGGAGGGAAAATGGCTAATTGGGCCCAATTTAGACATTTTCACTTAGGGGTGTACTCACTTTTGTTGCCAGCGGTTTGGACATTAATGGCTGCGTGTTGAGTTATTTTGAGGGGCAAATTTACACTGTTATAGAAGCTGTACACTCAGTACTTTACATTGTAGCAAAGTGTCATTTCTTCAGTGTTGTGACATGAAAAGATATAATAAAATATTTACAAAAATGTGAGAGGTGTACGCACATCTGTGAGATAGTTTATTTATATATATATATATTTAGCAAAACCGTAGTTAACACCTTCATTATGTAATGGTGATTGAACTACCCATACAGTTTTTTAAACTTTTTTTTTTTTTTGTACATATAATCTAGTGGTAGTTTTATTTTACCTACTACTAGATATCCTATGATCTAAGTCAGTGGTTTCTAACCTTACTCCTCAAGTACCCCCAGTAGAACATATTTTTAGGGTTTGCTTCACCTTGCAGAGATAGTTAAATCAATCTCATTGGTTTGGTATTTTTGACCACTATTTTATCTAAGAAAATTCCCGAAACATGACCTGTCGAGGGTACTTAGGCTAGAAACCACTAATCTAGGTAACTGAAAAACGTTTATATAGACCTGTTTTAGTGCCATCTTACCTTTTTTTTTTTTTTTTTTTTTTTTTTTTTTTTTTTTTTTTTTTAAAGTAGCGATACACACTGAAATTCAATACGAATGTTTATATTTGTCATTAATAAACAGATCAATTTGTACTTGAAAATGGAAAAGAAGCCAAACAAGAAAGAAGAGCTGACGCTAGTCAACAATGTATTAAAATTAGCTACTAAGTTGCTGAAGGTAAGTAATCCCTTTCCAATTACCTTACAGATTTTGATATTTTAATAAGTGGTAGATTCTAGCACATGGAAAAGGGAACGGGCTTGCTTCCGTCGAGATTCTCCCTACTGTGGTTTTCCAGCCTTTCTCTTTACCACAGTCCATGCCATGTATATCAAGGCCAGATCACCCAGGCCAGATCATCCACAAAGTAATTAAAAAGTTGCCCTGACCTGGTGGATGTCCAGGGGCCCTGTCTGCTTTTCTCCTGCAGCCTCCAGCCTTTTCTCCTGCTGTTTCTGCCCCCAGCTGGTGCTTTTTCTCCCGTTTTTATACTAGGAAATGACACCAGACAAGGATACCCTTCATCCCCTTTACTGTTCATTATTTTTTTAGAGATGTTGCTAGCTACAGTTCGACTAAATAAATCAAAATATAAAGGGTTTAAAGGTGGGCCAAAAAAGAGCACAGGTTGGTGACATTTGCAGATGATGTCCTGCTGTTTATTAGCTCCCCTTTTATAATAAACAATGCTAAATCTGAGATTCTCTAGGTTATCTTGTTCCAGAGCACCTCATCTACATTCACTAGCAATTTCATCTTTTTGCAAGATTATTTATTTTTTGTTTTAGTCAAGGCTGTATCTACACGCTGTTTGAGCTGGTCTCTCTATGCAGCTATCCAGAGCTATTCATCCTCGGCAATAGCTTTGGAGGCAGGTACTGTACTCTGCTGGACTGAAGATTCTGGAGCTAGCCTGGAATGTGACTGTTGGGCTTTTGCAGTATCCCTCTGCAGGCCTTAAGTGTGTTTCAACGGCTTCCCATCCAGAATCTTCTTCTTCGTCTGGCATACCTGCAGCTGCATGTGCCTTTAAGCCTTCTGTTGTGGAGACACTATATGATGAGGAGTCTAATAAATCCTTACCGGGTGAATTTGACTCTGATGATGTGTAGGTGGCTTAATGAAAACATAACGTTTTTTAAGACACAGTTCGTACAGTTATATAACTGGAAGAGCAGCCTGTAGATTCTAATAATGCTGTTACTAGTCTTGGATCCCTGAGAGGCCCCAGTACTATGAAAACCTTTCCGGTACACATCTTATTTGAAGGCTTTTTGTACAGAGACTGAAAAACTGTTGCATTCTTTTCAGATCCTGAATGTTTTACAAATCCGCATACATTTCAGGAGGCATTTTCCACCTGTCCCCTGCCTGTTGGAAGATGTGACTCGCCTTTCATTTTGCTTAGCAGTGTGTGGCATTAGCCACAGGGAGCTTTACAGGTCTAGAGGTGTGGTCTGGAGCAAAGGCCTATTACTTGTAATGGGATGCCCTTACTTTTCAAGTGTGTGAAACTCTTGCCCTTCTTAGCCCTCTGGTCCAAAAACATCTGATGCCTGCTTCCAGAGTTCTCTTATTCATATCCTCCAACTTGTCTCTTTCCCCATCATGGCAGGTGGATTTGCTTCCTGCTGACCAACAGTTAAACTCTGACAGTGGCAAGCATAAGCAGGGTTACCCCACTGGGATAGTCCAAACTTAGTTGATGGCTTGGACCATAAGAATGCTCAACCAAGAGATGTCTGCCTTGGTAGGGGGTGCCTACAGATATAAGGCCTATCAGATTGTTGGTTAGGGTCAGATTGGGTCAATAATATGTCTTTAAGCAACTTTTAATAAGGTCTGTATAATTGATCACAATATTAACTTATGCATTACATTTTTTTCTGGTTTCATTGACTGATATAATATGCTATTTCATTTGTATTCGCAATGCAATATTCAATTACTGAAATAATCTTTTATTATGTGTTTTGTTCTTAAGGAGCTGGATAGTCCCTTTAGGTTATATGGTCTGACTATGAATCCTCTGCTTTACAACATCACCCAGGTGGTCATCTTGTCTGCCGTGTCTGGTGTCATTAGTGATCTACTGGGATTTAATCTCAAGGTGAGCGCATACAGTGTGACTGAAAATTGTTCATTATTAGTTTTGGGTCAATTTTGCTTTCTTTTTAATAATGTTGTTAGTCCAGCTTTGTGTGTTTGAGCTCCAGCTACTCATCTCTGTAAACAATTTTTTTTCAGCAAAACACTTGAAATAGACCTAAAATTTTAAAGTAAATGTAGATGTCTCTTGGTTGGTTACACAGTTTAGTGAAAAATGTAACAGATTGTGCAGCGAATTTTTAGATTATGAATATAAAAATTTAATTGGGCAGCGACAACCCCTGACACATACACCTAGGAACCCATCAGCTCACATGCCTTTCAGTTATAAAGTCTGGCCAACCCTCGTCCCTGAGGACGCTAAAAGCCCTGCTGCTGAGTATGTTGGCATGCTGCTGTGCAGAAAAGACCCACCTCACATCTACAGCTGTATCTTGTGTTTTTGAAGGTTCAATGTTTGGGGGTCATCTGACGTGCATCACATTGACTGATATGAGGTCTGAAAAGCATGCATAGGGGCTGAACATGTTTTGTGTATGCACAAGTTAATCATTTTTTACACTCATGGTTGTGCTGTTAATGGCAGGATAAACTTTTTGTTACATTTACTTATTTTATTTATTTATTACAGGTACTTGTATAGCGCCGTCAATTTATGCAGTGCTTTACATATATATATATATATATATATATATATATATATATATATATATATATTGTACATTCACATCCGTCCCTAACCCTCAAGAGGATTACAATCTAAGGTCCCTAACTTACATTCATACATACACATACTAGGGCCAATTTAGACAGGATGCCACTAACCTAGCAGCATGTCTTTGGAGTGTGAGAGGAAACCCACGCAGACAAAGGGAGAACATGCAAACTCCAGGCAGGTGTGCCGTGGTTGGGATTCGAACCAACTACCCTAGTATTACATAATAATTATTTAATGAGTTCAGCTTGCCATTAGCAGTACTGTGAGAGCACAAACTGAAAACCAAGTAAGACTACAACAGCTGTCACCTTGGTTGTCTAATGTTTGTAAACGTGACACTTTGGGGTGTATTTCTAAATCAGATTATGTGACTTTCGCTGAACATTCTCTGGTGGGGAGTCAACCACTGCCATTTAAAACCCATTAACCTGGAAGATTCTCCAACAAAGAATGTTTGGATAAAATCACATTCTGATCAAAAAGACCCCTAAATATGGAAATGTTGCTGGCCCCTGTATTAGAGAATCGGAACCTAGGCAGCTTTCTATTTTCCACATGCAAAGTGTGAGATTGATCACCAGGGTACGTCTTAGAGCTAAACTCCAAGTATGGTTTTTATTGCACAGTCATATACTGTATTCCATAGTTTGCATAGTCCAGCTTGTACAATACCTGTGGTACTGCTATTTAGGCAGAATATCACTGTTGTAGTTGTAGCTACTACAGTGATGTCTGCAATCTTCTGTGTCCAGTCCTTAGTGACTGTCCTTCTGCATGGTCAATCCAGTAGGTTGCTTGCTTGGCATGGCTGCCATTTCAGTGAATACAAGGTACTCTCTGACTGGATGAGGCGGAGATCATGATGTCGCTGCCGGCTTTTCCACCTCATCCAATCACAAAATGCCTTGTATTCACTGAAGAAAAATACAAGGCATTCTGTTAATGATGACCGTGCCATGCGAGTAACCCTCTGGGGTCCTATGAGGACCCCAGAAATCATCGTGTTATCAGTAACTACTAGAGTGATTCTTCATTTCTACAGCAGTCCCACAGGTATGTAATATATATATTAGCTTGGGTCTAAGCTGGACCAATGTAATTATGCAATACAAACCAAACTAGGAGGTGAGCTTTATTTAGCTTTACAGAAGACTGTCATTTACAAAACTCTGCAAAAAATTTTAACTGAATTGATGAGAGGTTCCAGTTTGCAATTCTAAAATGCATTTATAATCCAGCAAAAATAAAGTGTTTTCATCTATTTTAAGTGAAGCAGCAAAAAGTGATGGCAACTCATAAGACTGCATTTTTTTTACTTTGAGATTATCAGCCTATTTTAGAATTCTCCAGGTAAACATGTGAAAAGGAATTTAGAACTTCACCTGCTGGCTGAAAACAATGAATATAAAATAATTAGTATTTTTTATTTACCTGAATTAATTAAAGATGACTATTTTATTTTAGTCCCTAACATAATTGTGAACAAAAAAGCTATTTATTCCCTTTAATTTTTAATGGTAAAACGTTTTTTCTTCCACAGAAAAACAAACATAATTGTTTTTTGTTTTTCCAAAGCTTGCCTTTACCATACAAAGTTTTAAACTTTTCAGTGTTAATCCATGATTATCCTGAAGGATTATTTACTGTATCTGTGGTTTCTGTGCTTCCATTTATTATGCAATTCAGGGGATAAAAATTCTCAACAGCAAACCAGCTTGAGGCTTTTTTTCCTGTGTACAGAGACTTCAAACTAGCACAGTCAAAATTATTTTGGATGTTACAATTTGCAAACTAGTTTTTATTTGCTTCTTGTCTGTGCTTAACCAATTCAATACCGGGCAATTTTACACCTTCCTGCCCAGGTCATTTTTCAGGTTTCAGCGCACTCACACTTTGAATGACAATTGCGCGGTCATACAACATTGTACCCAAACTAAAATTTTATCATTTTCTTCACACAACTAGAGCTTTCTTTTGGTGGTATTTAATCACCGCTGGGGTTTTTTATTTTTTGCTATATTAAAAAAAAAAAAAAGACCAAAAAGTTTGAAAAAAAAAACCACGTTTTTATTTTTGTTTCTGTTATAAAAGTTTACAAATAAATAATTGTTCTTCATAAATTTAGGCCAAGATGTATTCTGCTACATGTCTTTGGTGAAAATAATCCAAATTAGGATGTATTTTTTAGTTTGTAGGAAAGTTATAGAGTTCACAAACTATGGTATAGATCTGAAAATTGATCAATCCGGAAGTACTGACAGCCAATCTAATTTCTTGAGGTCCAAGAATGTCAGAACAGTACAGATATCCCCCAAATGACCCCTTTTGTTAAGTAGACAGTCCGACGTACTTCATAAGAGGCATGGCGAGTTTTTTGAAGTTGTGTTTATTTTTTTGTCATAATTCTTCGGAAAATGAAAAAATGTATTTTCACTATTTGTTTTTTACATACGGTCACCAGTGCAGTACAGAGTCGTCATATAACTGGCATGGCGGTGATCAGGGACACTGACTGGTGACAGTATGAAAAAAAAATATATATATATTTTTTTTTATTATTTTAAATTTTTTATTACATTTTTTTTTTTTTTTTTTTTAAAGATTCTTTTTCATATTTCACTATGACCAAAGTAGTACAATGTTACCATAGTAACATTGTACTACTTTGGGTAAGTGATCAGTATTTTTTTTTTTTTTTTTACACACAATTTGCTTATAGCAAAGATTTACTTTGCTATAAGCAAATTGTGTAAAAAAAAAAAAAAAAAAAAAATACTGATCCCGTTGCCGGTACAATGTGACCTGCTGTGACCAATCACAGCAGGTCACATGACAGTTGTATACAATGGATGGCTTCATTCGTGCAATCCATTGTATACTAGTGTCTAGCTGTGAATGGTCACAGCGATCACATGCACATGTCATGTGATTAGCTGTGGCCAAAACAAAAAAAAAAAAAAAAAAACCCTGACTGAAGATATCATTCAGGTAAATTTTTTGTTTTGTTTTGGCCACAGCTAATCACAAGACACTAGTATACAATGGATTGCACGAATGAAGCCATCCATTGTATACAACTGTCATGTGACCTGCTGTGATTGGTCACAGCAGGTCAGATGGTACCGGCAACGGGGTCGGTACTCAGATCTGTCATCGGCTGTATCCGAGGTACACGGCCGGTGACAGATCGCGCAGCTCTGCAAGCGCGAAAACTGCGCATGTGCGGGAGGATGCCAAATGCCGTCCACCCTGGAAATCTAGTGCATTTTTTCGTCCGCCAAATGGCCATTGGCCAGGCGGCAAATGGTTAAACTACTGCATAGCTTGCCTGTTTCAATGGCACAAAGATGTGCGTATCTTAGAGAATTTGTAGCGTCACACTGGTTCCACCATTTGTGTGTCAAGTAACACAGTACTTGACACACAAGTCACAGTCTAATTATGTGTGACCTCTCTAATTCCTTGACCCTTGCACGCTAAGCATTTGGAGGCCTTAAACTGTATCCAGCTTTGAATCTTTGGCATGATTTCAACTCCAGCACTACCTTCCCAATATTCAGTAGGAGACATCAACAGCCAAAAGAGAGTTGTCATGTTGCTCAGTGGGCCAGCAGAATAACATGCTTTGCCAATAAAACAACCAAAGCCTCTATTTACTTAGTGTGGACACTTATTAGCATACAGTCTACTAGTATGCCACATTTAAAACAGATGAGTCTTAAAATACTGGTCCTGTTCTTGGAAAAGTGAATATCACTATATCAGAAATCGCTTGTTTTTTTTTTTTTTTTTGTGTTTTTTCACAACCATTAAGGTGCAATTTAGCTGTAAACATTAGCTCTTCTTAAAGCAGGACTAAACCCTCCTAAGCAACAAGTCAGGATGTGGGGGTTGCTAACTAGGAGTTTTTTTTTTTGTTTTTTTTTAGACAGGCTTCTGAGGGGACCCAAATGTCATACAGATAAAACACTAAAATTAATGATCATTTTACAAAGCTGCACAGATTTGAAATATCTACTGGGCCCCCTTGACAACATAGACTTTCTTCTGGAAAATGGGAACTTGGCATTTCAATTAGTAAAAATCAGTTTGTTCTGTAAATGTAAGAACTGTAGAATGGAAAATGTTTGTGCCTAGGCCAGACCAGACATGGTGCTGTCAGGACACCTCACCATATGCTTTAGGTATGAAACGTTTGTTGGTGAGGACATTTCTCATTGCCCATAGAAGCCAATTGGAATACTTTATTCCTTTATTTTTTTTTATTTAATTTTTTTACAATTGG